TATATATATATATATATTAATGAATTAATTAATTGATAAATTAATTACATAATTAAATAAATTAATTGATAATACTAAAATAAATTTATTAAATTTACTTTGTCTTCTATTGCAGAAAACACTGGATTACAGATGTCTGCCTCATTCCCTGGCGAATCAGTTAATCTCAAAATTTCCCATAGTAAGAACGGAAATGTAATAACCGATGCCGATATGTACATTGGTCTGGAACAATCAAAAATTCTCAAATCGAGGGCTATCTGGAGACCAAGGCTCATGAGAGAATTAAGAGTAAATATTGATTTTTTTCCTCCTGAAATGAAAGAGGAGTAACAATGCATATCAAAAGCTAAACTATTTTTTTTAATTAGATTAGAGTATATTGTTATCAATTTTTTTTATTCTTCAATTATTTTACTTGAATCTGTAATAAAAGCATTTATTTTGCACTTATTTAAGATCGTTAGCAATAGTCATCATTTATTTTCCATGGTTCTAATATTTTTGTATTATTTTCATAATAGATTGCTACTGGAGAAACTATTCGAGCAGTAGGAAGGTCAAGCAGTGAACGATACAATTCTTTGAGTTCTACACTCAACGAAGAGTGGTCAGCAAGAGCTAACCTTATCTCCCGATCAGTGTCTGAACTTATGTCCCCATTCCTCAATGACTTGAAGAATGGTCTGAAAGAAATTGAAAATGACTTTAAAATCACCAATAATGCTTTCTGGACAATGTACAACAGAAATGAATTTTGCATGAAAGACATAGTTGTTGGTTATCAGAACTTGGAGAAATTTATGACGTAAGTAAACTCATTTTTTATTAATTTTTTTATTTATTTTACTATAATTTTTTTGAGTTTTATAATCTGTATTAAAAAAAGAAAAGTTTATGTATGTGAGTGTGCGTGTTGCTTTTAAATACCCAGAATCGTTTGTGCTATGGTCTAGAAATTTGCTCAGCGAGGGCAAGTGGCTATTTCAGCACACTAAAAATCGTTCAAAAATCTCATCTTGTATGTTTAAAAGGGGCACTTAAAATATGTATTTTCTCATTGTTTTAACTTAGGGTATTGCTATAGATTCAACTGTTGACGATTCTGTTTGGAAAAATAGGAGAAAAGTTTGTTTGATCAAAATGATATATTTATGCAAAAAAAAAGAAAGAAAAACATATAAGCATAAACAACGGATAACATAAAAAAGATGAAATTACCAATTATAGCAGAGTAATACTACTGCTAGAATTACCCATTTAAGCTGAATAATACTATTAAACAAATAGAAAACGTCGATGATTAAATGAAATAGTTACACTCTTAATCTAATACTTTTACTCAGGTATTTCTAATAAAATAAATTTATAATACCATTAACAAAATTCAAATTTTGAATTTTTTATCAAAATTGTTTAAACTTGTACGTAGATAAATACTAAGATGCATGTGAAGAAAGCTGATGAGAAAAAAATCAAGTTAAACTAAGTTTTTTCTGTCTAAACTCGTTTGCTTTTCAAATTGTTTTAAGAATATAAATTTTATTATTATTGTCTTATCTTTAATGCAATTGATAAGGAGCTCCACCTTTTTCAGGCTTCGTACTACTTTGATAAACAGATTCTTGTATACAAATTAAAAACTTAAACTAGCAATATAATATTAGTATAGAACACTACTTTAAGTTTTATTTATGAATAATAATCAAACTGAAAATAAAAAAACAATAATAACAGGGAAGAATCTCAGGAAGGTATAAAAAATAAATTTTTCTATAAGTATCGTTAAGTTTGGGGCAAATAAATAATTTTTAAATAAATTGCTTTAATTAATTCCATGGTGATGTCTGTCAATGATACCTGGATCTTCTCTACTTGTTAACTATCACTTCAAATGATTCTTTTTATCCAATATGAATTCGTGAAACGTTAATACGATAACTGTTTTTTATGCTGTACAGAAAAGATATATTTTTCTTGTGATTCTGAAAAAGTTACTTGATCATTTTTGATAAATACTTTTTCCAATTTGTGAAGCGGTCGGGATAGCCTGGTTGGTAGAGCATTGGGCCCATGTCCAAGAAGTCACGAGTTCGATATCCTCCTGTAGTAGTCACTTCCCGTGCAGTAAATGGCAACCGGTGCATGTTAAATCTGTTGGGTCGCAAAGTCCTCCACGTTCCCATAACAAATTATACTTCTGAGGGTACGAAATTAGAGATTGATCCCTCTCTGGTTCAGGTCAAAATTACGTTCGGCGGATGAATGGATGAATGCATTTATGGGTCAGCTCTATGAACGGACTGTGATGTGTGTGTGTGGCTGAAGTCATATTCTTGGCCATAGATAACGCTAATGAAAAATAGGAAACGCACCCTCTGCCTTAAATTCGATTCGTTTCACCAAACAGGCTTGCTGGTTTTGGCAAGTGACATTAGAAGGGCCGGGATAGTCTGGTCGGTAGGGCGCTGGGCCCATATCCAAGAGGTCGTGGGTTCGATCCTCGCCGTCCGAAGACTCCCCGTGTAGTAAATGGTGACTGATGCAAGTTAAATCTGTCGCGTCTCAAAGTCCTCCATGTTCCCACAACTAATCAATACTTCTGGGGGTATTGATCCAGGAGTTTCCTTGTCTTCTGGATTGGTTCAAAATTACAAGGCTACGGAGTTGAACGTTAGTAGTCGTAAACCCATGAAATTGGGTCGGCTGTTCAACGACGGTTATAAAATAAAAAAAGTGACATTAGAAACAACAAAGCCAACTTGTGATATGTAAATTAATTACAAATTATTACGATCCGCACTCTATAATATTGAATTTTTTAACTATCTTTTCAGGGAATTGATGGGTGGACTTGCTTTAGGCTGCGAAACTATGTATTACATGGCAGTAGAACAACTTGAAGAGATCTATTACACTATCCAATATTCATTAATGGACTTGAATGAATATATGAGTGAAGTGTTCACTAGAATGCATAGATCTGCATGCAATGCCATGAAGTCCCTGAAGCACTGCGCTAGAGAATGCACTAAAAACGCTTTGAGAAGAATCGGTGAATGGATGCAAGTAACTAACCGCAAATTCAAAGTCCTGTGTGATAAAATGTACTTAAGAGTCGACAAATGGATACGGTCGTATGCGCCTTGCATTATTGATGGATACTACTACACAAAACAAGCTGCTGATAAAATACGTTACACTGTCAACGGTAAGACAATATTAATTGCTTTGTTTGATCTAGATTAATAAATATTTTTTAAAATATAACTTACTTATTTATTAAATAAATAAATAGTATGTAGAAATATATTTTACGTTTTATTTCATGTTATTCACTAAACTATATTTAATTTTTAAGGTTTTAAGTGTTTGCAAAATTTTTTCAATTGTCTAAATCAGCTTTAAAATATTAATCTATGACTTAAAACCTTACTAATTCAAGTTTAGTAACTAAGTACACTGAAATACAGTTCAGTGGGGAATAAAATTAAACAAATGATTTAATATTATGTAATACAACAAAACAAATGCTTAACTGATTTTTGGAAATANCTGTGTGATAAAATGTACTTAAGAGTCGATAAATGGATACGGTCGTATGCACCTTGCATTATTGATGGATACTACTACACAAAACAAGCTGCTGATAAAATACGTTACACTGTCAACGGTAAGACAATATTAATTGCTTTGTTTGATCTAGATTAATTAATATTTTTAAAAATATAAGTTACTTATTTATTAAATGAATAAATAGTATATAGAAATATATATAGAAATATATTATTTTTAGCAATATTCTCTTTAATGAGTCACTAAGCAATGCATTTATTTCATATAGTAATGTAATGAAGCAAATGCGTAGCTTAGTGACATAATAAAATGGAAATCGGTGTTCATAATATTTACCATAGTAAAAATAGTGAAAAAGAAGGTAGATTCTCACTACCTTCATATAGTTTTCTCATATCTCATATGCTTCATATGATAATGTAATGAATCAAATGCATAGCTTAGTGACATAATAAATTGGACATTGGTGTTCATTTAATTTATTATAATTTCAAAATAGCAAATTAAGACGGTATATTTTGACTATTTAGTTTTTCATATCTCACATGCTTCATAAAGTAATATAATGAAACAAATACATAGCTTAGAGGCTTAATAAAATGAAAATATCAGTTCATTTAGTTTACTACAGTTAAAATAGCGAATTAAAAAGGTAGATTCTAACTACCTTCATTTAGTTTTTCCATATCTTATATGCTTCAAATAGTAATATAATGAAGCAAATGCATAACTTAGTGACTTATTGAATGGAATTTACCATAAATAAAAAAGTGAATAAGGGAGGTAGATTCTGATTACTTTCATATAGATTTTATATTTTATGTTAGTTTAAATGAAGCAAATGCATAACCTTGGAATTCAATAAAAAGGAAATAAGTCGTCGCATAATTTACCATAGTTAAAATAGAGACTGGAGGAGGTAGTTTCTGATTTCAGAGACAACTTCACAAATTTTATCAATATTTAATATAAATATTTTCTACAGGAATAGCTTCTGCAGCTACGAATTGTATTGTGTCCAACAGATTCTACCGTGCAGTGATGAGCTATTCTAACAGTGTTATGACAACCATCCAGGCCTTCCAAGACTTCAACTACGCAGAGTCAGCTCAAGCTTTCATTGACAGATACTATGACATGCAATTGATGGACACAATCATCAACCATCCTACAGTAGAATACATGTCTGGAGTTGCTAATTCCGCTTTACGAAGAGTAAGTGACTAAGGACACAGAGTGTGAATGCATGCATAGTGGGGGTTCTAAAAATTTAAATAAAAGAAAGGAGATGGAAACGTAAGGTTTGCTGCATTCTACTTAGGAAACAAGTTAAATATTCTCATGAAGTTTTTAAATTAGTTACAAAGTTTGACAGCAGATGATGATAGTAATTAAGGAAAAAACATTATTTTATGATGCTACATATCAACTACGCGGAACAATCTAGGGAAAGAATTTACAGACCGCTGTTGAAATATTTCTAGCATGCAGTTCCAGCATGGAGTTGAAAACATAGTTCGCAGATTTCTTTTTTTACTAGAAATGCAATCAATTGTTTAAATTTTAAAGCTTAGCAAAAATAAATCTAGTTTCCTAATCAGAATGCAGCAAACTACATGTTTTACTTCATTTAATTTTTAGTTTCTTTTTCAAATTACCAACGATCATTCTTGGGTTACTCATTATCATTATTGTATAATAAAAAGAATTCATAGTTTATCAATCTACTAGTTAATCAAAATTTTCAAACACGATACAGTGTTTTATAAGTAAACAAAACTGAAAATAATCTGATGGTACCTTTTCAAATTAATTATAAAAAAAAGTGATTTTTAAAATGGATCTTTTTGGAGAAGTTTTATATCTAGTTATAACTTAGCCATAAGGTATGTTGCTAAGTGTATACAGTGTAACGCATGCTGTTACACTGTATAAAGAATTTTTTTTATTTTCAGTTTTCTCTAAATAATTTGATTGATTTTTAGGGAATTATACAGCAATTATTTAAAGTTATTTATAGCAGAAAATTAATGTATGAAAAATTTGCTTTGATTGTGGTTTCGACTGATATCAATTTGTTAAACTTTAGGGGGAGAAATCGTCATGACATTCTCCCAATACTTGATTGGGGGAAGTTTGGGTTCAAAATTACAAGGCTAAGGAGTTGATCATCAGTAGTCATCAGCTGTTCAACGACGGTTATAAAATAAAATATTCCACGCCCGAACGCAATATTCCATTTTTTATATTTTGATGAACAAAAAGTTAGAATAATGAAAATATTTTCTATTTCAGAGCGTTGAAGTGTACCACAATCTGGGATTGGATTATGCCGTCTCCGCCTTGGCTGAAACAACTGCTGATTATTTGAAATCCGTTGCTATGAACTCTGCTCATGAATTTTTGGCTGACTTTTATAGATCTCATGCTGGCGCCAAATATACTTTCACTCCAGAAAGAGGATTCATCTCCCTAGAATTCACACTACCAGGACCTCGAAGCAGTTTGATTGAAGTATTCGATTTTAAAACTTACCCAGAATATCAAAAAATGATTAACTTGAACACAGTACTGGCTGAACATTATGAAGACTTCTGCATCTGGGATTATTATTATAAATTTACGAAATACTTCACACCAAGCTTTTGGCTGCCTGCTTTTAGAGGTAAATAAATTTAAATTTTTTTTAGCATTCATTTTTATATGATGCTATTACAAAATTGTTTTATAAATTATTCATTTATTTAAGCTATTTGAAATTCCAAATTATTTTTTTTTTAAAGTACAATAATGATAAAAGTTCTTAAATTTTGTAACATTTTGTTGCAAATCAAATTTTGCTTACTAAGAATAATTCAAAAATACTCTGACAATACGTTAAAGTTTTTAACTATTTTGCTTAGTTATGCTTAACTATACTTATTACTATGTGCTTAAAAGAGAGTAAGGGGATTTTATTTCTTGAAAGTTATAGGGTTATTAAAATGTGACATAAAGCCACATTCTAAATAAAATTTAACTTTTTTCTTGTCAAATATCTCATCAATGATTACTAATTAATAAGTGTTTTAATCTTTTCGTGTTTGGAAAAATAAATGAAAGAAAATATTAACTAATTTTTCCTTGTATATTGCGATATTAAATGTTTACAATTTAATGGCTTGGAACAACACAGCAATAGGCTTCGTATTTTCGAACGGAGAAATTTTTAATTTCAATTTCTTTATTAGTATTCTTTATTATTCTTTGTATTCTTTATTAGCATTCTCTCTTTCCAAATAAGGACTTCTGAAATGTTAACTAAATGGTAGCATAATACTGCATAGTTAAATTATTAGTTTCTGACTTCAGCTTCCAATGAGGTGAACCGGGTTCGAATCCCGTCAAAAGCTGGTAGCTTTGAATTCCTCCCCGGACTCCCACCGATCACAGTGATGACCTAAATGTATGCTCAGTAGTAGCGGTTCATGAGTTATAGTCCCCTTGCTATCGGGCTAACCGATGGAAGCTTTCGTGGTGTTCCTCTCCATGTAACACAAATACGGGTTAGTTCCATTAAAAAGTTGTCCGTGAAGGCAATCTTCTCTTAATACTTGATTCAGGAGTTCCTTTGTCGTCTGGATTGGGTTTAAAATTACAAGGTTACGGAATTGAATTGGAAAAAAAACGCTCGTAAAATTTATTCTCTTGTACTACTTGAACGTGTAGGTCAGCGTTATATTAGTTCAAGACCTATAATTTAACAATAATAATCATGATTTATTTGGTTAATTTTTAAAAAATTTCTAGTAGATATAAGTTATTAAATACATTCATACATTAAACTACATTTTACATAACCGTAGTTTTAGTTATACCTATCTCCTAACAACATTCATCAACATTTTTCTTTAACAATTTTCAGCACATGCTCTTATCTCTGGTAACCAACACTTCATTACATTCGACAAAAAGTCTTACGACTTTGCCGGAAAATGCAGCTACCTTCTTGCTCGAGACTTCGTCGACGGAAATTTCACTGCTGTCGTCAACTACGGAACATCAGACCACATGAGGCGATCTCTCACCATTTTGGCTGACGGAAGAAAAATCGACATCGGCAATGACTACAAAGTCACCCTTGATGACGTCAAAGCAGAGTGTCCCATCCAGGTTGGACACACTGTAGTAATGAGGGAGGGACCTAATGTCAGAGTTGATAATGAAAAGAAGGGTAAGAGTTTTATAAATCCGTTTGCTCAGAAAGCCCATTAAAACATTTTTAAAGTTTAATTTCATGACATGCAGCGCAAACCATTTTTGTTTATAAACCACATTTTAAAAGTTCCATGCATAATCTGAGTTAAAACATTTACGTATATAGCACACATTATATAACTTACATATCTAATATTCTATACGCATGATGATCTGTAATTATCACTTTTTGTATAATTTAGAATTACTGTCGAAAACGAAGCAAATTAAGTATCGTCCCGTTACTTAACATTATTTACCAAAGCAAACCGTTATTTAGCTAATTAAGTAAAGCCTCGTCCGATTAAAATTTACAAGCAGTCGAAGTAAAAACGGATACAGAAATCTGTCAAATCACTGATGATGAAGGGGAGATTAAAGCATAAAAACCAGTTTAAATCTCTGATGAAATTCGGAGGTGTTTCTAATTGTCGGCATTTACTTTTCCATATTATTTTCGCTGGTAATCAAACAAGTTTGATGCTTTTAAAACTTCTTTCTTCAAATAGATTTCGATAGAGTTTTCGTTTTTCCTTGCTTATATATTCATTTACGACTTAAAGTGACATAAATTAAATTTGATTCGTATAGTAATATCACTCTGCTTTTTAAGTAATCAAATATATGCAAAATTGAAGAAATATAAAGTAGAAAACAAGAAATTAATCTGAGCAAAGTAAATCAATACAGGTTTATTGAATAAAGTATTGAAAAATTAAGCATTTTTGTTAAATAAGTAGAAATTTAAGAAAAATAATCCTACATTTATTTTAAAGAAAAGGTATGTTATACAAAATACAAAACTATTTTCTAATTACATTCAAAGAACCAAGTTTCCAAATTTGTTAAGTTCCCTTACATAACAAACACATTGCATTAAAATAAATGCTGGAAAAAAAGTGTTCAAGTATCCTATGCAATATTGCATAGGATACTTGAAAATGGGTACCACTTAATAAATATTTTTAGTTCATTATAAACCTTAAATGAGCAAGCAAGACTTTAAACACATTCCTTTTTAAAATTATTTAGTAACATGAGAGTTCAATTTACAATAACAATTCAAAATAATTGACAAATTTTAGGAAGGAAATATAAATGTGACACATTTAAGAACTAAAAATAAAAGTTTTTTTTTGTTGTAATTATAGGCAATATTTTTTTTGAAGTCATACTTATGACAATATATTAGTATGGGAAAGTTAACATTAACAATTAAAAACGAATTATAATTAATCTGGAACAGAGTCTACATTTTTGGAACGTTTTTAAATGTACTAAATATTAATTTTACAGGTTTTTCGATCGTTTGCAATTTTGTACGCAACTACTGCAGCGTCTCGGTATCTGGCTTCTATTTTGGAAAAACGGCAGGACTTTTTGGAACATTCAACTACGAGCCTCAACTTGACTGGATGACTCCTGGACGACATTTCGTAGATGACGTTGAAACTTTCGCCAACACTTGGGAAGTTGGACAAGGAGCTTGCAAGTCAACAGAAAATTTCGCAACACTACCGACTAACGACTACAGAGTTCAAGAAAAATGCAAAGCACTATTCCAGAAATCGACATCAGAATTTAGAGCATGCTTTAAACAGGTAACTATAATTTTTGACTTTAAAATTTGTCTTACACAGAATTGAAGCTTTTGAGATTATAAGAGAAACCTTAGAAATTTTGAGTAAATTGGTTTTAAAGTTTATGTGTTTAATAAAAAAGATTAAAAGAAATAGACTGTGCCTTACTTTTATTTCTTGCCAAAGGCTTCCAGTTGTAGTATTTTGAACAGAAAAATATTAAAATGAGAAAATGCTAGGATACAAAATTAATACAAGTTAAAGAAGAAAAAAAAAGTATTACTTTAGACTAATTTATTTAACTATTTTACTAAGCACTTGATAATGAATTAAATCATCCATTATTTTGATTTTTAATAGGTTGAACCTGAACCATACATGAAAATGTGCATTACTGATTTGGCTGCAGTTGCAGACACAGAACAGGATGATGTTATTTGTGAAACAGCAGCAGCTTATTTTGCCGAGTGTAAATCTGAAGGAGTATTGCTTAAGATGCCAAAACATTGTGGTAAGAAGAAAATGTTTCACACTATTCACACTTTTTGTAATTAAAATTGGTGTCTCAAGGTCTACCTTTGTCACCTAGGCAACGATGTGACAGGCAGCAGCACTACTCTTTTTATTCACACGACAGTTTAGGAGTGTCTGTAACTCACAACTGTACATTATTACAATAATAACGTACTGGCCTGGAGAAAAATTGAAATTAGTGGATAACCATGGTAACAGAGAGGGGAAAAGTGGGGAAATCGCGAAAATGCTAAATGTCTATTCTATTTGCAAAGCCTCCTATGTACAATTGCGTACTGTTTTTATGCTCTGGATTTAAAAAAAAGATTGAATCAGGCAATATATGATGAACAGTTCTATAAAAAATAAAACATAAGCATATAAAAAATAAAACATAATTTTTTAAAAATTCCTAATATTCACTAAAATGTTAAAAATATCCATTTCCAACTAAAATTTGTATGATTCATATAATAGAAACAATATCAACTGAAAATTTATAAAAGAAATGTTAGGACTATCAATAATTTATGAAGCAAATTGCACTTTAATACGTACTTTAAAATAGAAGAAAATTTTAGTATATTTATTTGTTTATAAGTGCATATGCTATGATTATGAACCAATAACTGTTTATTGATATCATTATATCAAATCAATGCAAGTTCAATGATTTATTTGTCAATATTATTATTGGTGCTAACAATGTACATGATGCGTATTGATATAGATATGAAGAACTTACACGATTTTTTTTATCTTTATTGATATAAATATAATGTATAATCAATAGCTGAGGACAAATACAATGATCAGTTAAAAAAAAATTAAATAAGTAGCTAAAATTTAAATAAGTAGCTAAATTAAAAAGTGCTAATTGATATTTTCAATATCGTATGTTTTCATAAATAAAATTTGTGCGAAAGTACTATCATTTGAAGCTATAAAATATTTTTATTTCAGTATGGTGTGAGAAACAGGATGGAGGCTTCATGAACGAAGGAGACGCTATTCAATACCCAAGAGACGGATCTGTTACAGCTGCTGATGTAGTTTTCTTGATTGAAGAAAAGGAATGCAACAAGGAGAGGGTAAAATACATTTCAAAATTGGCTCAAGGAATTGAAAACAGCTACAAACAAAAGGGATACAAAGACATTCGATTCAGAGTTGTTGGTTTTGGTGGTGATAAGATTCACTCTGAGCCACATGTCCACACAATGGATGGCATGGAATCAGGTCCTCTTAGATCTCTGGATTCAGCTTTGAATAGCTTGGAGTTTGGTGACGGTCCAATCAACATGTTGCAGGCAATGAGGTATGCCGCCTCTTTGAGTTACAGGACCGGATCGACAAAGAGTTTCATTTTGGTGAAATGCTCACTGTGCAAATCTGAAGAAGTAAAAGTATGTATACCGTCTCCCATTGCATCAATTAGTAATTTCAGAACTTTTTTGAATTGTTGCTTTAATTAAACTTTTCTGGTTTAAAGGCTGAGTACGGTGAGATGCTTAGAACACTTTTGGATAGTGATATTACTCTGCACTTGTTGATGGAACAAAGATATGAAATGAAGAGCCCAACCAAGAGCTCGAAGGCTAAGAGAGTTATTGGTAAGCATATCGAAATATCTTTCATACAAAATTAATTATATATGAAATTTGCTTTGTCATCATAGTTTATGATGCGAAACTGAGTGTTCCATCATTATTAAATCTTAATCGAAATAAGACATCACTAGTAAAATTTCTTTAAAGAGGTAAAAGAGAAAATAAAAGAGGTAAAAAAAGGCAGTATCAACCAAGTTTGAAGTTTGAGATGTATGCATAACTGAAGATTAAGAATTGTTAAAGATGACATTTTATAATTTTGACATCGTAAAAGCAATTATAAAATCCCGTGAAATCGTGTTAAATTTTAAGTTCAGAGTTAAGCTCGTATGTTTTGAGCAATAATTGACAGGACAATTTGTTTCAGTCTACAGTATTATATTTATTTATTCATGTGTTTATCATCCTCGTTAAATATTAGATAGAAATGGAGGAGAATTTACAATTGTAACATACTTTTTAGAGCCGATTAGTTCCGATTATGAATTGCTGCGTAAGATGATACATTCACCACCATCAATTTAATAATTTGAAATCTAAATATTAAAAGACAAGAAGACTTTAGGTTTTAATAACGTAGAATTCAAGTCGAATGTTTTAAAACTGAATAGCACTGAATTCAAATCATACAGTTCAAATTAAATGGCATAGCTTTTAAGTAAAATGCATTGTTAGAAAATAGGAATCAGTAATCAGGACTTTGCAAAATGCATTTTACGGTAAAATCAATTTTTACTGTAAAATATACCGCAATTTTTACAGAAATATTCATTTGATTGAAGTGATTCAGTGATTTTGCGATAATTAGTACAGCAAAAATAACGGTAAATCAGATTTTTTGTTCCGTAACATGCTCCTGAAGAATGGATCTTACGGTAAAAAGTACAGGCATCCTTAGTGTCGGTACTTTTTACAATAATTTATCCGGAATTTTTTACTGTATGAATTTATGTTTTTATTTTATTGAAATCATTTTCATGAAAGTATTTCTTGAAGAATTCGTGATCATATTTTATGCTAATCTTCGTCCATAGGTTATACAATGCGAAAAATATTATAATTGGGCTAATTCTAATGAGGAGTTAAAACAGAAGTCAGATAATGTATTGATCAGTACGCTGTAAAAAAATACCTAAATTAATGTAAATACTATTGTAACAGGTGTTGACAGCAAATTCGCATACACATTGAGAGAAGTCAAAGATTCCCACGTACCAGGCGATGTTGATCTTTTGGCACAGTTGAAGATTCCAAAAGACGTCTGCATTCCACTTGCACTTGAAGTTAATGGTTCAACGTTTGATTCACAATTCTTAACGGAGACCAAGAGAAACGCCAACAAGAAGTTCATGGACATCTTCTCTCGACTCGTCGCCAGGTCATCTGTAGAAAGTAACAGCAACTGGGGAATGTGTTGCGAGTGTCTGGCAACTGAGTATGGTGTTGGAAAAAGCACTTGCCAACGATGTGTATCTGCTGAAATGGCAAGCATGATTTCGGTGAGTACTTACTTGATGTAGTCTGACACTGCGCCAAGGAAAGAAACATTATTAATGATAAAATTATAAAGAATTTAGTTTCCAACGTAAAAATTAATTTATAGTAATATTTTTATAAACGGAGAAGAAAAAATTGGCAAAAGTACCGTACTAGAAGGGCTAGTTCACTCCGCTCTTAGAGCTGAAGCTACGATTTCCCTCCTCATGACGTCACTGTGTCCACAGATCTCGGAGATCGCAAGCAAAGATATGATAACTTTGCATCTTTCTCTTTGTAAAAATAAGTTAGACTTTTTCTGGTTATTAGCCTTCAAACTTTACGTAATTAACACATTATTTCCGTTCATAAACATAGTTCAAAAAAAACTTTCTTGGTTATTATATTAAAAAAATACCATTTTAAACTTATAAAAATGTTTTGCTAGTTGGTGAAAATGACACGATAAATACTTTATTTTAAAAAGTTCAGTTTTAACTTTAACTATTAAGAAAAATGAAGGCATATATCGACACTTTTTTTATCTACATATTCTTTTATAAAGATAAGTTAAGTTAAATTTAGAATCCCTGATTTTAAAATATGTCGTTAATAGCAATTTGTTCATACTTAATCATTAGGAAACATCAACCTTAAACGCTAATTACTGAAACAAAATAATAATTTAGGTTCATAATGACATTAGAAATTTTACAATTGTTTATAGACATTTAAATTTACGATGATATAATATATAGATATTTAAATTGAAGAGAATATAATTTTTAAAAAAAATCATAAATATTTAGAATAACTACATTAAAAAATATGTTATGAAATTAGGAGAATTTCAACTATATACTATATATTTTATTTATACTTTTTACTTACATTTTAATTTTCTTTGACTTTATCTATTTTTTAATTCTTTTCACCTGCCTTTCTTTATGAAGTAGCGAGGCGGTTTCTATTTAGATAATGAATTTTTATAAAAGTTCTTTACGACAGAATAAACGTATTGCGGTTTTATATTAACTGTGTCATTTCGGAATCCATTCTTTACATAGTTGTTCATTTACTTTACGGAACACGCGAAAAATTATACCTTTTCCTTTTGTTTTTATATCAGAATTTTTGCAAGTTGCAATCGCGCAAACTGGCATTTCGATAATAGTTTTAAATTCTTGTAAATTCACTGCAAAAACTGAGGAAAGTCATTATAGAAGATAACAAATGTCTTAGAATATCTCGCAAAAAGAAATGATCCAATATTAGTTAGAGTAGTAAGGCCAAACGCTCCGTTCTTGAAGTAAAGGTGCGAGTTTTGCGCCAAAGTGACGTCACTAGAGTGACGTCGGAGGATCGGCGCGGCGAGAGATACTTCAAAGGAGTGAACCAGCCCTTCTATTCTCTTTAGCCCTGGTACTGCACGGTAATGACATTTCTTGTGAAAAAAATAATAAAGCTTGGTTTATATAATCAAAATATGTGGTATTGAAACCATTCATTTGTTAATTTTTCCATTCAAATGGTAATGGTTTACCGGAAAAATAATGGCAATGGTTTTCAAAATTACAGTTCTTATTGCCACACATTTAGTAGAAAACACGAAGCTGGAAAAGTACCGAATAAGTGTATCCATGCTCTAAGGTATCGTGAAGAAATTACCTAATTTAACCACAATTACCAAATTTTATCGCATATTATAAAAGCATATTTTGTTGCTAATTTTACCAAAATCGTATTACCAAATTGCTTTTGTAAAAATTACCATGCGTTTCAGAGTACCCGTAGAGCCAGAAGCATGATAAGTTGAACAATATTCTGGTAGTTCTGACCCTACTTTTTTCTCAGTGAAGTGTTGGAGATAAATTCAAAAATTTGAATTTTTTTTTTAGTATTCTTTTCTAGAACTAGACGTAACTTAAATAAAATAGTACCTAAAATTTTATTAGTCTTTTCATATTCTAGACGTAAATTTAAAAGAAAAAAAAACACTGATTAATTTAATTTTTAGCGATCCAAGTGCTAGGCATTAATTTAAAGATATAAATTTAATTATTTGTAAACTTTAGTAGTGCTAGACGTAAATTGAGGAAATATTAAATAATTTTTTAGTAATCTATATTAGTGCTAGCAATGAATTAAGAACTGACTTAATTTTTAATATTCTTTTTAGTTTCTGTATATAATTTATCTCTTTAATTTCAATAGGTTTATTCTGAAAAGTATACTTCTAGTACGCAAGTTAAGCTTGAAAATATATACAGTTAGTTAGTTAAGCAAAATGTTTCAGAAATGTTTTTGAACAACGGTATTTACTTTTTAAAAAGGTCATTTTTTAAGCATTTAAGTAGGTTGAAAGACTATTGTTTTATTAATTTAATATTGCAAAAGTAACTAACCTCAAATTTTGACACTTTCAGAGTAACGTCAATCACTCTTCATAAGTTGTTTTAAAACAGTTTTAAAATTATAAAAGTAAATAAAGGATGAAACAGCTACATATTAAGACAGGCTTTAGAATTCAATAATTTTTTAAAGGGGATTTGTGCAAGACCATTTTAAAAAAAAATCCGCGAATTGTAAAATCGAGCAGTATTATGATCAATTTTTTCTTCTTCTACAAGTTGTATTTCTACAAAACAAATTATCTTTATATCAATTTGTTAAATTAGTTGTCATTAAATTTTAATTAATTTAATGGCAAGAATAGACTGATTTGTCAAATTAAATATTTTGGATAATTAAAAACATCAAGGCATATAGTTGAGAAAAGCATGCGTTGGGAAAACATCTTTACATAGGGCAAACTATAATTTTCAATATTTTTGGTACTGCGTAAATAAATTAAATAAGAAATTGTGAAGGAACTAATTAAATATAGATTTTACAGTCGAATTTAGATAATTTCCCTGTAAATATAGTGCAAGTGTTTCACCAGGAGTATTTTAAAATAGTTAAATCCTGTCAAATAAGACAAAAACATTTAAAATTTTCAAGTTAACACTATATATATATAGTCTTAAATATTTAATGTATTCTTTAAACAGTCTTGAATGATTAAAATAAGTAATGTATGCTTTAGCAGTGATTCCTAATGATCATAAATACGTAAATTAAAAAGCATTTTCTATTACAGACGGACCTATCAGGTGTGAACAACTGGCAAGCTTCCCGTGCTCAAGAACGTGTCCGAAAGCACAAAAGAAGAGGACTATAATAACTAACTATTTACAATTATCTTCACACAAACTATATTATTTAATGTAATTTTGTCTAATTTTTATTTTTAAAGAAACTCATTAAACTCATATTTTAGTGCTACATTCTCATTTTTTTAAAAAATTTTGGTTTATATATGAGTTGCATTTGCACATCTCCATTTCAAGTGCAGAAGAAAAAGTATTCTTGGGCATTTTTGCTTACCTGCAGGAAAATTTCTTTCACAATTATGCCCACATTTCTTTTTTGTATTTATTTCTTTTTTGTTTATAGTGTTTATAATTAGTTATGTGTGAAATAAGTGTTCGTCTCTGTGTCTGGAAAATTCTAAAAGTTCGGGAAGACAAAATGTCGAAACCTAAATTTCCAGCAATCAAGAATGCGTACATATCGTTTCGTCTCAAATTAATTATATTTGGAAAATATTATCTATTATTAATTCCATTGTGAAGGGAATATGTAAAATTAATTGAATTGAGCTTTCGAATTTCTGAGTTGGCACTGTTTGCTATGAAAATCATTCTTCAACATTTACCGATGTCCTCAAATGCTTTCATGTGGCTGTTTCTCTGAGGATTTAAATTTACTCTGTAATATAAAGACATTGCAATGGACTTCCAATATAAGTGCTTTTCATCAGTGAGCACGTGTTTATTTTTCGTATTATGTGTAATGTAATTATAATGATCTTTATTTTGTATGTATTTCCTTATATTAGTGTGTACAAAGATTAAATTCCAATGAAATAAAGTTGCTGCAGCAATACTTTTTCTTCTTTTCTGTGTTTTTTTACACTTAAATTACACAGAGATAAAAAAATCTCATTAAAAGTACTGTACTGTATTGTAATGAAATTTTTAGTAATATATATATAATAATTCTGGTAACAAAAACCAAAACATACGGTACTTAAACCATTCATTTGGTAATTTTTCCATTCATTTTATAGCAATTTACCAGAAATCCTAGTTCTCAAAATTAAAGTTTTATTTCCACACATTTAGTAGAAAATTTAAAACTGAAAAGCTAATTAAACCGAATAAATGACTATTATGCCATGTTCTAAGGCATCATATAAAATTAACAAATTTTACCTCACTTACCAAATTTTATCACTTATTACAAAACTATATTTCAATGTTAATTTTACCGAACTCATTTTTGTCATTCTTAATTGCCAAAGTTTTTCGGTAAATTTTTTTCGCATATTTTGGTGTTCCCATCGAACCAGAAAAGCTGTAAATTTTACCACATTCTGGTAGTTTTGACCATATTCTCTTCTCTGTATCTTTAACTCTATAGTTCAAATCATCTAAAGAGATTCACTGATACCATCGTTTAGATTCAGCTACAAAACCACAGCCTAAACTTATTAGTTTTTATCAATATTTTTGAATCCATTTATTTGAATGCATTAATTCTAAAGTTTCTTTCTAATCAAAAATATTTATACAGAAAAATATATTATTTTTTCTAATTTTCATACACTATGAAATTGGTTTATCCCTATACAATCCATTAATTCGATTAGAAATTATTTACCCGTTTACACTGACTAATATTAGTTTATCCCGCTGTTCAAATCCGTTGATTCAAAAAAGTTATTTTAGTTCGTGTTTCGAATTACCAAAGTGAACTCGATCAAGTAATTAAGTGAGTTTGATTTAACTAATTGATTTACCTAAGTATTATGTTGTTCGATTTGAATTGCTTGGATGATCTAGTTAACTCAATTTAATTCATTACAAACAAGTATTTTAAATTTAAAAAAATAAATAAAAAACACTGAAAGTATTATAAATTATGATGTCATTCTTTTTATTGTTTTTTTTTTATTAGATTCTATAAAAATAAAATTCATTGTCTCCTTTCGTTTCTCAAGCATTTCCTACAAAATAATCCACAAATAGTGACGTACTTAATGTTATAGAAGAGCCAAAATGCTTCAACTATTTATCTATAACTATTTCCTCCAGTTAAAAATATCTTAACTTTTATGCTACTTAAAAATTTAATACAAAACTGATCAGAAATTAATATAAATCAGTTGATAATTAAACTTAAATCTATATCATTAAAGACGCCAATGTATACATTATCACAAAACTGATAACATTTCGTTTCCTGTGTTAGCAACGAAAAGCTAAAAACGAATTGAGTTTTAAGTTAGGTAGAAACGAAATTTTAAATACTAACAGTTCATGTAATCAAGTAAATTGTTCAGTATTTTTGCTTTATTATACTTAATAATTTACTCAGGTACCGAAATATTTTAGAATTCCATTGCATTTGAGATTTAACTGTATGTAAATGTTGCATATTTTTAGAATTTTGTTTTGAAAACATTACTAGACATCAAGTAAAGTTAGATCAAAACACATCATACGCAATGAGCCGATAGGAATTCCAAAAGCAAATCCGAGAGTTCATGAGCGCAGCGAACGAGAAGTGGTACTCTCTATTTTAATATTTAAATAAGTCGTTAAAAAAAAAAAAAAAAAAAAAAAAAAAAAAAAAAAAAAAAAAAAAAAAAAAAAAAAAAAAAAAAAAAAAAAAAAAAAAAAAAAAAAAAA